AGAGGTCAATAACCTAAAATTGGTACAGTAATGTGGTATGAATCTGGGTTTGCTGATAGATTGGAACATTGTCTACAAGACCTCAGTGAGATATTCAACGCACCCTCAAAAACCGATGAGATACAGTGCCACCAATTGTGTCAAGAGTGCAATGGTACTTTGCTATATTGCGATTTTTTGCAAGTTCAGAAGTCAATAACCTAAAATTGGTACAGTAATGTGATATGAATCTGGGTTTGCTGATAGATTGGAACATTGTCTACAAGATCCCAGTAAGATATTCAACGCACCCTCAAAGACTGCTAAGGTATAGCGCCACCAATTGTGTCAAGAGTGCAATGGTACTTGGCTGTATTGCGATTTTTTGCAAGTTCAGAAGTCAATAACCTAAAATTGGTACAGTAATGTGATATGAATCTGGGTTTGCTGATAGATTGGAACATTGTCTACAAGATCCCAGTGAGATATTCATCGCACCCTCAAAGACTGCTGAGATATAGCGCCACCAATTGTGCCAAGAGTGCAATAGGACATTGTTTTTGCCTTGCTGCATTGCTATTTATGGCAAGTTTAGAGATCAATAACCTAAAATTGGTACAGTAATGTGGTATGAATCTGGGTTTGCTGATAAATTGGAACATTGTCTACAAGATGCCAGTGAGATATTCAACGCACCCTCAAAGACTGCTATGATATAGCGCCACCAATTGTGTCAAGAGTGCAATGGTACTTAGCTGTATTGCGATTTTTTGCAAGTTTAGAGGTCAATAGCCTAAAATTGGTACAGTAATGTGGTATGAATCTGGGTTTGCTGATAGATTGGAACATTGTCTACAAGACCTCAGTGAGATATTCAACGCACCCTCAAAGACTGCTGAGATATAGCGCCACCAATTGTGAAAAGAGTGCAATGGTACATAGCTGTTTTTGCCTTGCTGTATTGCGATTTTTGGCAAGTTTAGAGGTCAAGAACCTAAAATTGGTACAGTAATGTGGTATGAATCTAGGTTTGCTGATAGATTGGAACATTGTCTATAAGACCCCAGTGAGATATTCAACGCACCCTCAAAGACTGCTGAGATATAGCGCCACCAATTGTGAAAAGAGTGCAATGGTACATAGCTGTTTTTGCCTTGCTGTATTGCGATTCATGGCAAGTTTAGAGATCTATAACCAGAAAAATGTACAGTAATGTGGTATGAATCTGGGTTTGCTGATAGATTGGAACATTGTCTACAAGACCTCAATGAGATATTCAACGCACCCTCAAAGACTGCTGAGGTATAGCGCCACCAATTGTGTCAAGAGTGCAATGGTACTTGGCTGTAAGTGATTTTTTTGCAAGTTCAGAGGTCAATAACCTAAAATTGGTACAGTAATGTGGTATGAATCTGAGTTTGCTGATAGATTGGAACATTGTCTACAAGATCCCAGTGAGATATTCAACGCACCCTCAAAGACTGCTGAGATATAGCGCCACCAATTGTGCAAAGAGTGCAATGGTACATAGCTGTTTTTGCCTTGCTGTATTGCGATTTTTGGCAAGTTTAGAGGTCAAGAACCTAAAATTGGTACAGTAATGTGGTATGAATCTAGGTTTGCTGATAGATTGGAACATTGTCTATAAGACCCCAGTGAGATATTCAACGCACCCTCAAAGACTGCTGAGATATAGCGCCACCAATTGTGTCAAGAGTGCAATGGTACATAGCTGTTTTTGCCTTGCTGTATTGCGATTCATGGCAAGTTCAGAGGTCAATAACCTAAAATTGGTACAGTAATGTGGTATGAATCTGGGTTTGCTGATAGATTGGAACATTGTCTACAAGATCCCAGTGAGATATTCAACGCACCCTCAAAGACTGCTGAGATATAGCGCCACCAAATGTGTCAAGAGTGCAATGGTACTTTGCTGTATTGCGATTTTTTGCAAGTTCAGAAGTCAATAACCTAAAATTGGTACAGTAATGTGATATGAATCTGGGTTTGCTAATAGATTGGAACATTGTCTACAAGATCCCAGTGAGATATTCAACGCACCCTCAAAGACTGCTGAGATATAGCGCCACCAATTGTGCCAAGAGTGCAATGGTACATAGCTGTTTTTGCCTTGCTGTATTGCGATTTTTGGCAAGTTTAGAGGTCAAGAACCTAAAATTGGTACAGTAATGTGATATGAATCTAGGTTTGCTGATAGATTGGAACATTGTCTACAAGACCCCAGTGAGATATTCAACGCACCCTCAAAGACTGCTGAGATATAGCGCCACCAATTGTGCAAAGAGTGCAATGGTACTTAGCTGTATTACGATTTTTGGCAAGTTCAGAGGTCAATAGCCTAAAATTGTTAAAGTAATATGCTATGAATTTGGGTTTGCTGATAGATTGGAACATTGTCTACAAGACCTCAGTGAGATATTCAACGCACCCTCAAAAACCGATGAGATACAGTGCCACCAATTGTGCCAAGAGTGCAATGGTACATAGCTGTATTGTGATTAATGGCAAGTTTAAAGGGTCAATAACCAGAAAATGGTACAGTAATGTGGTATGAATCTGGGTTTGCTGATAGAGGGGAACATTGTCTACAAGACCTCAGTGAGATATTCTACGCACCCTCAGAAACTGCTGAGATAAAGCATCACCAATTGTGCAGAGTGCAATGGTACATACCTGTTTTTGCCTTGCTGTATTGCGATTTATGGCAAGTTCAGAGGTCAAGAACCTAAAATTAGTAGAGTAAATTGATATGAATCTGGGTTTGCTGATAGATGGGAAGATTGTCTACAAGACCCAAGTAAGATTTTCAACGCACCCTCAAAGACAGCTGAGATACAGCGCCACCAATTGTGCCAAGAGTGCATTGGAACAAAACTGTTCTGCTGTGTCAAAATTAACTAGTGGTACCCAGCCTGAAAATGCTAGTGTTTAATTTGTGTATAATCTTATTTCTGGTGTTGTGATAGACAAGTACAATATGTATAAGCTTCTTGTAATTTTTTTTAATAAAATACCAACAATAAGCTTAATAATAATAATAATAGAATTAATAATAATATTATTAATATTTTTTATTTTTATCATTTATATTAATATTAGTAGTATTAGTACTGTTAAATTCATGTAAATGTGTATAGGTATATAGTTAATTTGTATATATATATATGTATATACACACACAGGGCCGACATGGTGGTGCAGTGGGTAGCACTGTCGCCTCACAGCAAGAAGGTTGCTGGTTCGAGCCTTGACTTGGTCAGTTGGCCTTTCTGTTTTTGGATGTTCTCCCTGCTTTCACGTGGGTTTCCTCTGGGTGCTCGGTTTCCCCCACAGTCCAAAGACATGCAGTACAGTTAAATTGGGAAGGCTAAATTGTCCATAGTGTACGACTGGGGATGTTTCCCAGAGATGGGTTGCAGCTGGAAGGGCATTTGCTGCATAAACCATGTCCTGGAGAAGTTGGCGGTCATTCCGCTGGGGCGACCAAAGTTTAATAAAGGGAACAAGCCGAAAAGAAAATGAATGAATACATATACATACACTTAAATAAACACAGACACAGAAAAATGTATTGTGTACTGTGTATGAATATATATATATATATATATATATATATATATATATATATATATATATATATATATATATATATATATATATATATATATATATATATATATATATAGAGAGAGAGAGAGAGAGAGAGAGAGAGAGAGAGAGAGAGAGAGAGAGACATATTTTACACACATATTTATAAATAGGTACATATTAATAAATTTTTATAAGGTATATAGATTAATTGGCATTTATTTCAGTACAATATGTATAAGTGCATTGTAAAATATTTTTATTTCACTACTACTATTACTACTAATAATAAAAATTAATAATAATAATAATTATTAATATTATTAATAATAATAATAATAAATCATTATTATTAAATGATTATGTATTGGCATCTTTATTTTGTGTAAATTTATAACACAAACATACTTTTATTATCTTTAGTGTTAAACATTTTTAATGTGAACATACACACACACACACACACACACACATAGTTTATAGTACACACATACATAGTATGTAGTAGGCACACAAATACATAAAAGTTAAAAATAAAACATTAAATGAATATGCAAAAAACTTGGCATATAGCACCTCCAACTGGGCATTTATTGAAATGACTGTATTTTGACCGTTTTTTGGTCTGTCTTCTCAATGGGATAGAATTATAAATATTTATACATATGCAGACGCGTGTATAGACGTATACTATTAACCTGTTGTGTAATATTAGAGAGAACATGGTACAGTATTCAATTATGCAATAGCTCATTCAGTTCAATTCACATTTATTTGTATAAGGTGTATAAAAAGGTGTATAAAAAGTGCATTGTCTGTTCTTTGAAACAATAGGTTTAACAAAACTTGAATTGTATTTACAGGCGTGGGTGTCAGAAAAAGCTACTGAAATCTAATACAAATTGTAGTATTTGCAGATAAAACATATGCATTAACTTTTACAACTTTAATTAATAAAACAATTATTTTGTATCTAAAATCCTTGCTGAGGCAGGCACTGTCTTTTCATAGGTGGGTCATGTGAAGTCTTCATAAAGGACTATTTCTGGAAAAAAAACAAAAATATATTGTACTCAAACGATGGCACTGTCAATAATTAATCAATGATGCAATTAGATTTCATGCTTGCAGCCCGTTTTCTATCTTATATCAGTTTCATTTAGCATTTTTCATTTTTCAAAAAGGAACATAAATAAACACGGTCCCTAAGATGAGCGCGAATAAGAAGCTGAAAAACGGAAGCGTCGCGGTTTTTAAGGTGGACCGCATAGCGTCAATAAGAAGCTGCGAATAAGAAGCTGGATTCAGCCTCGTGATAAGCGAAACTCCAAAATGAGAGCCATTTGAGAACATTATTTATCTGCTGTTTAAGTATGATTTATGTTAAATAATATTTTTATTTCTTTTTGTAGGAGCCTGTTGTACTGACAGACACCAGTTTAGTATATCCAGCTCTAAAATGGGACATACCCTACTTGCAGGAGAATATCGGAAATGGGGACTTCTCTGTTTACATAGCAGAAAATCACAAATTCTTATATTACGACGAGAAGAAAATGGTTAACTTTCAAGACTTTGTGCCTAAATCTCGTCGAATAGAGATGAAGTTTTCTGAGTTTGTGGACAAGATGCATCAAACAGAAGAGCAAGGCGGGAAAGGAAGGTATGTCAGTGTGATTAATGTACATGCATGTTCAGAACTGCTGGCTGAGATGAATCATTTTCTCACTAAAAACTGAACATGCATTAATTTATAACTTTTGATTATGATGTTAAAAATAATTTTTGTTATCTGCCTTTATGCTTTCACTGTTAACATCACTTCTGCATTGAATATTTGAGTAAATTAGTTTAGAAGATTTGTGCTATTAATAAATACATAAACTGAGACTGTGCTAAAGTGTTGAGATGCATGAAATCTAATCCAAGAAATGAAATCACTCCGGTGTATGACTAAGCAGTTAATTCTGCCAACTGATGTCCAGGCCACATCTGACCTTTTTATACTTAGCTTTGGTGGCTTAATCCACTGTATCATTTACAATAATCATATTTCTGTTTATAGACCTTTAACGGTTGACCTTACTAAATCAATTTTAAGCTAATTCTGATTGTTTACTCTAAAAAAACCTGACATTTAAATACAGTTGCATTGTGAAGTATCACTTTGTTTAATTTGATTTGACATGTGAAACTGCATCGTTGTTTAATTTGTAGAGTGTACTTGCAACAGACTCTGAATGATACGGTAGGGCGGAAAATTGTGGTGGATTTCCTTGGATTCAATTGGAACTGGATTAACAAACAGCAAGCTAAACGAAACTGGGGACCGCTGACCTCTAATCTGCTGCTCATAGGCATGGAAGGTACAGTTTCAGTGGACTCTTTTGTATCTAAATGATTGCCTATATTATTTAAAGTTACAGTATGTGTGGGGTTATACCTAGAGCTATTGCGCTCTTGAAAATATGATGAGTTAAACAGGTTCTGACTTGAAACTTTTAAATATCAGACTCGGCATAGTGATCAAGTGTAAAACAAAAGCAAGGTGTGGAGAATTAACTCATGTTGTAATGGGTAATTAAATAAATTGTTAAAAATTGTTAAAGTTACATACTTAAGCACTAAAGTTGTAATTTAAATTCCCCTAATTTTTCTTAATATTTCACCTATCAAAGGCAATGCAACGACACTTATTTTAATAATATATATTTGTGAGTGTGTGTGTTTATTTATCTTCTGAAAATGTCACAACAGGCAATGTAACACCAGCACACTATGACGAGCAACAGAATTTCTTTGCACAAATCAAAGGACATAAAAGATGCATCCTCTTTCCGCCGGATCAGTTTGACTGCCTCTATCCTTATCCAGTCCATCATCCATGTGACAGACAGAGTCAGGTATTATTTGCTTGATAACACCCATCCTAAACACTGCTTCTCAGATTTTTAAATGTGTCATGTTTCAGATGTTTACTGGCCAAAGATATTTAATATAACTAGTAATACTGTCTTGCATCACTCAAGTTTTTAATGAAATGCAATACAGCATGCAAACTATTGTGGACGCTATCTGTTGATTTAAAAAATATATATATATTATATTGATTCGTTTCTGTTGCTTCATTTTATTCAGCTGCCACATTTATGACCGTCAGCAGGACTACAAATATGAAAAACAACGTTTAAACAGAGGGCAAGACAAATATTTTGATTATTGGACTTGATCCATACCATGTCTCAGAAAACATTTGATAGATTTCAAGTTTGCACAGACACTTGTCAGATATTTGTATTCTAGAGTAAAAAACATGAATAGGTTTTCAAGCACAAAACAATAAAAGTAATAGAAATTTATATTCTTTCCCAATACATGTAGAATGGGCTGTTTTTTATGTTGAATAATATGCATTTTTACTATGATTTACAGTAGTCACCCACTTAAATGTCAGGCAGATAGGACATGAATCATTAGATGAAATCAAAAGCATATTTAAAGATGAATGTGCAATGTCAAAATACTTAATAACAATAATTAATTGTAATTTAAAGTATTCAAGAAACACTTTAATTGCATTTAATAAGCTTTCTCTGTATACAAATTCAATTATTTTGACTCGAACATCAAAAATGGTACCTCAACTTTTTCCAATATATATAAGTGCTATTCCAAGAAGTACAGCAGGTTAAATGTTTTTGGCCTGAAAAGTTATATTCACAGGTTGATTAAAACTTTTTAATATTTTCATCTGCAAAATGTTCAATGCAAATTTGTTTTTGCACTCTTAGGTTGATTTTGAAAATCCTGACTATGACAAGTTTCCTAATTTCAAAAATGCTGTTGGGTATGAGGCTGTCGTGGGACCCGGAGATGTGCTGTACATCCCCATGTATTGGTAAGTTTGTTTTCAAATACTCTGAGAAAGTGGATCACAATTATTACCTTAAGCTGAATCACGTAATTCAGTCAGACTGGCTTAACCCAATGTGGAGTATGGGGTGGAGCTAACTGTTAAATGTTAGGAATTATTTTTTAGGATATTACAAATTGAAGTTTTAAAGAGCCCCTATTATACATGAAATAGGGTCCTATTTTGGTTGTAAGGCTCTCCAACAATAGTCTAATATGCATGCAAGGTCAAAAAACACTTTTATGGTCTTATAATCTGCATTTATTTTTACCTAATTATCCCAGCGACTCCGATAAAAATCGTTCAGTGATTCATTTGTTACCAAACCCCTCCTTACCGCGAAGCTAATTTGTGCTGATTGGACCGATGACAGCCTGTTGCAATTGGTCGACACCGACAGCCTTCAGCGCAAGACAGAGTGAAATACCCAGCAGCTAATCAACAATATAAAAGTAGTCACAGTGCATACACGCTCAATAGTGTAAGGCGTGGATTTTGGCTGCCAGTGGGTGAATGTAAATACAGACGACTAACTATTTTATTGAGCAAAAACTCCAAGAACTGGCGAGGAGATCTCCTAGTTGTCACACTCCACCTGGTCTTTTCACGCGCACACACACACACACACACACACACACACACACACACACACATTTTACCCTCCTCCTCAGAGGACACAACAAACACACACATTGCCCTCCTCCTCAGAGGACACAAAACACACACACACGTACAATACCTTTCTTCGCAGAGGACACAAACACACACACACACACACGCACACACATTACCCTTCTCCTTAGAGGACACAACACCAAAACATTCAAAAACAGAGAATGCATGTTTGGGTTGAGGGCGGCGAGATCGCCGTTCGCCTAGAGCGCCAGATCAGCTTGCTGGGTACAATTTAGACAACTCACCTCGAACCTGAGCTGAACTATTTTAAAACTTGACCGTTGCATGTGTGTAGGAACAGCTGACGGTCGGTAAACAAAGCAGCACACGTCGCGTTTTTAACGTGACTTTACACGCGATATGAGAATATAAAGAGTTAACCTGAAACAGTACATGCAGTTACAAGTAACAAAAATTTGCAAGCTAGAGTAAACGAGGCAACAATTTTAATCACACGTACTTACACTTGTGAAATGGAGGAAGAAACTGATCCATGATGCACTGATCCATGTTCTGATAATCTTTACTGATTCTTCCTTTAACAAACGGCCTATGAAGTCTTTGCAAGCATTTGTGGGCTCTTTAATTATGTTTTTCTTTTGTGCAATTGATTAAAGGGATAGTTCACCAAAAATAAGCATGTATAGTCAATTCATTCTTAAGTGGTTCCAACTCTTTTTTTTTTTTTTTTTCCCTGTTGAACACAAAAGAAGATATTTTGAAGAATGCTGAAGTACCCTTTGACATCTATAATAAGAATTTCAAAAATATCAAAGTCAATGGCTGCTGGACTCCAACATTCTTTAAGAAAAATTGTCTTTTTCTGTTCAATAGTGGAAAGAAACAAACAGGTTTGTAGCAGTAAACGATAACAGAATAAAAGCCAGTTTAATTGAAATGGTTTGTTTGATCTCACTCATAGATGTAAGTAAATACATAAATGTACTTTTTAACAATTGAGTCTATGCTTTAGCAGCTTGAAAATATCAGTGTCAAGTGAAGTGTTGGCTCTCTCTCAGTTTTGTGGGTCATTGGTTGGGCTTCTGCCTCTTTCTTTCATGGGCTGCTGACTTAGTTTCAAGCCTGTGGGAGTGACTCAGCATGACGGCTTCCTCTTCCAACTCCTTGCTCCCTCTAGTCACTGGAGGGCAAAATGATGCCAACCAGCTGTGTAATTCTACAGTCCATACTTTTTCCTCATGGCTGCCTGAGTGTGAACATTTCTCTTTTTCGTTTAACCCATGTCAAAGAAGGGCCTTTTTTAAATAAGAGGATTTTGTACCATTTTCCCATTGCTTTCAGAATTTCCTTTTAAAGTTAGTGTAAAAATTATTAGCCCTTCTGTGAATTTATTTCTGTTTTTCAAATATTTCCCAAATGATATTTAACAGAGTAAGGAGTTTTTCACAGTATGTACTATAGTATTTCTTTCTTCTGGAGAGATTATTTGTTTTGTTTTGGCTAAATTAAAAGTAGTTTAAATTCTTGTAAAACCATTTTAAGGTCAATATTATTATCCTCCTCAAGCAATATTTTATTTCGGTTGTCTACAGAACAAACTACCATTATATAATGGCTTACCTAATTACCCTAACTTGCCTAGTTAACCTAATTAACCTAGTTAAGCCTTTAAATTGCACTTTAAGTTAAATAATAGCATCTTGAAAAATATCTAGTAAAATATTATATACTGTCATCATGGCAAAGATAAAAGAAACCAGTTATTAAAATTGATTTATTAAACTATTATGTTTAGACATTGTGTTAAAAAAATATTTTTTTGCTCATAGAGTCACAAACTCAAATGTATGGAGAGAATGTAAGTGGAAAATCATTACAAGATATTTCCGCACCCCACAAATTGTAGCAAAGATAAGAATAGGCTCACTAATAGATGCTGGAGAGAATGTGGTGATCATTTAGGGAACCACTCTCATATCTGTTGGTATTGCCCAAAACTGCAGCAATTTTGGAAGGATATCTATAAGGTACTTGGTATTGATATTCCCTTTGATCCAACTGTGGCAGTCCTAGGTTTGGTGCATGAGAGCATGAGGAAACAAAGATTGCTCTCTGGAGCACTGAAATGTATTGCGTCTAATTGGCTCAGATTAGACCCACTTACAGATGACCAATGGATAAAAAAAATTTGAGAAATTTATGAAATGGAAAGAATAACTTATTGCCTTAGACTCCAGATGAATATATTCAAGCAAGATGGAACCCAATTCTAACAATTATACATGAGTAACTTTAAACATACAACATAGATTTAATAAACAGCTACATTTCATACATGATAAGCATAAGAATAAGAATGTGATCTTAGAAACGAGAAACAGCACGATTAAACAAAAATAATTGCTCTCGCTCAAGCAATAGAAAGCAGGTCAATAGTGAATGAGGGGATAATCAGTCCCGCAAACAGTTGATGTGATGCGCGACTGTTTAAAGCGTGTGCGCGCTCCTGTTTTCTTGCTTAAAGCAACCGTGCCTGGAACGCAACTGTGATTGGTTCTCTTTCATATAGAACAGACAAAAAGATATGCTAATGCATCCAAGGTCTTGCTGCTTTCGAGAGCTCAAAATGTGTCTTTTTGTAAGCACCACCGGTTGCATTCGCTTTGAACAGATTATTAATTGGACTTAACCATGTGTTTATCCTTTCATTATCTTACACAGTGTTTTTCACCTGCTTTCTTTTGCTTGCAGTTATTTTTGTTTATATGGTTTAATTATTGTTTTTTTTTTTTTTTTTTTTTTACAACAAAATTGCTTTAATATGAGATTAACTCTTCATTTATGTGTAGTTAACTGGTGATCTGAGAGATCTTTAGCAAGGACAGATTACTGTGCATATTTTTGATAAATGACAATAATTATTTTTAAAGGTCAATTGTTTTTTTTTTGTTTTGTTTTTTTAAAGAAATGTTTTGTCTTGTTTTGGCACATTTAAAATTTGTGGCTAAGAAATAATTATTGTTTGGTGTGGTCAGAGATAAATTCAGTAAATCCCTAATTTTGAGTTCTGAAAAGTCATGTGAAATAAAACCTAATTGTAATACAACACTATGACACCATGGCCAATTTGCTCATACAAGACGAAAAAAATGTAAAACGAATGAGGAGGCAAGTGGACAAAACACAAAATCTAAATCAAGTAATTTTAGCATGTCAAAGTCATATTTATGCATATAAAAATATTTTCCCAACAATAAAATTGTGGCTAGTAAAAATGCAGAGTGGCTAGTAACGTTGGAAAACTACTAGCCACTGTGGCTGGTGATCCAAAAAGTTAATGTCAAGCCCTGACTAAGTATACAAGGCATCTACCAAATGCCCCCACCCCCCCCCCTCCCCCACCCCCATCTGTATCCTTATTAACTATTTGTATGTCTGATATTGTGCTGTGTTCTAATAAAAAAATTAAAATAAAAACTTATAAAAAAAATTTTTTTTCATTAAACAAAAGTATACATTGCGGGGCTAATAATTCAGGAAGGCTAACTGTATTAACAGCTATGTAAAGAATTGAAATGGCCACTTCAATGTTCTCAGTTTCTCTGTGTGTTTAAAAAAGTTTTTAAAAAATGTTTTCATCTAGTAAGGTCTTTTATATTTCAAATAAACAAAAAATTAATTTAAAGCATTTTTATCATTTTTCATAAATTGACAGTTGGTCAGAATAACAAATTAGAGTCATTATTCCACTAAATAGCTTTTTAACTCTTTTGAGGTTAAAAACTAAATCTAAAATGAATGGAAACATGTCTAAAACATGGCACCTTTTTTGTTATTTTATGAAAAATGAATAAATAAATATCATCATTTACTTGTTCAGACATGTAACTAAATTATACATTTTGAAGCAACCTCCTTTTTTCCCTCTCATAGCTGTACTGTACATACTCTCTTTTTACTACTTTGGCACAAAAATTGGTACACAAGTGAGTCATTCTGTAAAGTGTTTAAAAGCAAACCCACATAAGTAATGAAGTAATGGTTTATATCTCTAAATATTTGAATTTTAATTAGCTCTGTATAGTGCTGTTTATTCAAAGTCATTGAAGCAAGTTCTTGAATTTGTGTACGTGGTGACGAGCTTCAGTTTTTTAACATGCGCTTTGCATAAGTGACTTTATCAAGGTCACGTAGCAGGTGTAAATGGAAACTGTTTTTCATTTTGACTTTCCTGCAGGCATGGTGCTTTTTATCTAAGCTGTTTGTGTCATAAATAACTATTTTAATTGTATTACATGTAAAGGCTGTAAATGTTGAAAATGTTATGTGTTCAGTGTAGGATAGCTATAAAGGGTTCAGTTAGGTCAAAATGAGTTGGTATCAGAATTAGACACAATAAAGTAATCCTAAAATAAAGAAATGTTTAAATATAATTATTTAAACTCACAACATATATTTTTTATTGATGTTTTTAATTACATTTAGTTTTGATGAATTTGGCTGAATAATTTTTCCTGTGCATTACTATGTTTCTTATATTTATGGATGCATTTATTTTTTACCCAAATTTATTAATATTTATTAATTTATTATTATTATTGTTGTTGTTGTTGTTATTATTATTTTTTTTTACCATTTTTACCATAAATTGTAGAAGACATTCACTAAAACAACATAAAACGTAATAGTTATATACCAGCTTATACTTAAAACCTCTAAGTTTGACTAATTTATCAATATTAAGTTTTTATTAACCTAAAATATCATATGATTCATTATGAGAAGTACAGGTCATCAAGTTGTTTTAATGTTAGATAAGTATATCTGTTATGTTAGAACAATGAGATATGATGGAATTTAATTTACACATATTTTCACATTTTTATTTTGCATTTTACATTTTATTTTGATTGTTTTTGCATTTAATATTGTTTTTGTTTTTACTAAAATTACCTTGTAAATTACCTGTAAATTTAATTAATAGTAGACACCAAGTTGGATCTCTTTTTAAATATTTGAAGCATTCATTTTAAAAGAAATGTGTAAATTAATAATACTACTGTATTGAATAGATATAACAACATAACAAATTATTATTAGTACTATTAAATTTTTTAATATATATTATTTATTCAATATCTGAATTTTCAGCATAGTCATTAATCATTTAGAAATCGTACAAATCCTGAAATGTTTAGCTCATTGGCGTGTTTAATGTTAAAACAGCTGTACCCTGATGCGTATCTTTTCTAGATTATTTGATTACTTAAAGCAGATCAAAAGAACACAATTTTTTGAAAATATGCAAAAAGTAAAAAATATCTCCCTAAACCGTTGCAAGGTAGTGAATATTTTCAATTAACATTAAGTAATAGTTTGCACTTTTTTCTGGTAAAGGTGGCATCACATTGAGTCCCTTTTAAATGGAGGAGAGACCATCACAGTCAACTTCTGGTACAAGGTATGCTTTATCTCACTCATGCACTTTGGTGTCTGTATACATGATACATCTGTGCACAAATCAACCATTGTTGCTCCAAACATTTCCAGGGGGCTCCCACTCCAAAGAGGATAGAGTATCCTCTGAAAGCCCATCAGAAGGTGGCCATAATGAGGAATATAGAGAAGATGTTGGGAGAGGCCTTGGGGGACCCACATGAGGTACGGAGAAATAGAACAGTCAATCAAAGCCGTTTTCCGTTTTTAGGTCCACAGATATGAATAATGCATTAAGGAATTCCCTGTGTATTTTGACCTTGACAATAACCTAATTACAAGTGTATTTGTGGCTAACCTGCTTTAAACCTGAATAAAGTAGTGCCTACATTTGACTGTGACTACAGCCCAAATGAATACGTTTTCTGTATGGAATCGTTCAAAGAATACATTTCATATCAATGTCATCAAAAGTATTGATATTTCACTACGTATCTATCTTGAATGTCACCGAGTGAAAATGCTGAGTTCTCTTTGACATGTTTATTCTCTTTAACGGATCTATTTAATGTCAAATTAGAAAATATTTCATTAAAACAGTCTGAAGTTAAAGTATACTGTTATAGAAGACAGAGATCCGGCTAATTAATCTGCTTTAGTCATTAATAGAAAAGGACTAGTCATGTCATTCCAATTCATTACATGAACATACTTTTGATCCCTCGATTTTAAGCTTCATCACAAGTCGTCTTTGAAATGTTCTTTGTCTTTAACGTACATTACATAAAATACCAGGCTTTTAACGCTGTCTAAAACTGAAGTACACAGTTTAGGAAGATATTTCTTAGGCCCTGTTTACACTAATACGTTTTAGTTTTAAAACGGCATTTAAAACTAAAATGATCCATGTCCACATTGGCGTTTCACCTAGTGTGTTTGAAAAGATCTCCATCTTTACTATACCACTGAAAACGCACATCACTTGACCATACACACACTCTGGCAGCGTATGCGGATGTCTGAGCCCCAGGCAGTCAGCTGATGCTTTGAGCACACCTTCCCAAATAAGAGCTGTACACGTCAGACCGTTCCTCAGGGATCTACTGCTGGATCTAATGTCACTATAGTTGTTAAAATGATATGCAATTCATTTTGTCTGTATTCAACGACTCTTTAGTCTTTTGAATCTATTTTTCTCAGGTAACGTGTTTTGGCTGAGCGCAAAGATAATTAATATATTAATTTTTGTAACCTCGTATACTGATTCTGCACGTTTTACTGGCTGCTTTCATTTATTTCCTATGTTGTATAAATGTATTGTACATTTATACTTTTATAATGGCCATTATTGATTGTTAAAATTAATATTCAGCAAAAGAGAGGGTATGTTTCATATTTTCAGAATGAACTTCTCTCCAAAATGGTTGGTTGTAAATACAGGACCAAATCACATGAAAAAAACGTGCCCTTACAAGTTTTGCACTTAAAACAGAGATCAGAACAGGCTGGGAACATTTTATGCAGACGAACAGGTGTAAAATAAATTCTGTGGAAATTGAAAAACTAAAAACTTTGTTCATATATGGAAATTGAGGTTCATTTTGGAAAGAGACTATCCCAGATCTTGGACCAATCTTCAGGAATAAACAGAACTTATATCTCCGTGCCCATAGTGATTTCAAGGAATCATAAACCGAGGAATCAGAGTAAACTAATGAAGCATAGAATTTAGAAATGAGCCCTTTAAAAGATCTTACTAACAGCATTTTTTCTTCCAGTTCTGATAATTTAAAACGAAAATGGTTTTGCTTTAGTAGGGATTCTATAAAATGTCAAATTTGAAGATATTAAAAAAAAGTCTGGAAAACTCTGTTCTTATTTGTTCAAATGATTTCACAATTTCAGAGGTAAACATTCCTGAAAAGTCAGACAAAATTTTAGAACTCCAGTCTTGCATTCCGATGCTCCTAATCTGAGGGGGGAGGTCTGGGTTATTTTTAATTGGTGTGAAATAATCCTTTAAACAGCAACAACAAAAGACAAAATTCCTGTTAGACCTACTTGACAAGTCTTAAACAATATTTTCATCTGTAAATTTGTTTCAAGGTGTTTATGCTTGGTATGAATAATTAAAATACTACATGGTTTTACATTTTGTTTTCTGCTAGATATATCATTTTGAAAACTCATGCCTGTAAAAAGTCCTTAACATTAGCCATGTTTTCATCCATTTATTTTATGCAAAGTTTGGACTTTTGCATAAAAATCTGCTTCATTATAATGCCAAGATGCCCAAAAAGGTTTAACAACGTATGGACACAACTTTGTAGTATCCATTTATTATCTAATGGGAAACAAAATGTATTATGATGGAAGCATATTTACTGAATTAGTTTCAGCATGCGCATAAAAAAAAATGTAGTTTTGTTTTAACAGCTCATAATCACAAAATGTTTTCTGTCAGAATTGGGGTGCGATGGAATTGGACAAGGTCATAGACCAACCACATTGACACAACATCTGAAATGTTGTTTTGGTCAATCTAAAAACTTTTATTTGTTAAATAAGAAATAAGGCCCTCAGTGGATTCTCCTTCTGTAGCGGTCCATTTTTTTCTTGCTGACATTTGGCTTCAGTTTATCAGGAAGTGACGATTTTGCTCTGTTTGATTCATTTGATGGAATTTTTGATGGTTTATTTGCAAAAGCTTTATGTGAAATTACAGATCTGCACATACAGTTGAAACCAGGAATTTACATACACTGTAAAACAGGCACATAACCAATTTTTTAAATGTCTGATGGTAAATTTTACTAAATGTTTACTATTTTAGGTCCATAAGGATTACCTTAAATTTTTACATTTGCTAAATGCCACAATAATGAGAGAATTTTTTTAAAGTTTTTTTTTTTATTAATTTCTAGACAGTCAAAAGTTTACATACATTTCCTTGGTATTTTTTTTTTAGCTTTGCTTTAAAACTGTATAACTTTGGTCAAATGTTTTGGGTATCCTTCCACAAGCTTCTCACAATAGTTTGAAGGAATTTTGACCCATTCCTCCTGACAGAATTGGTGTAACTGAGTCAGATTTGTTGTCTGTCTTGCTCGCACAAGCTTTTTCAACTCTGCCCACAAATTTTCTATAGGATTGAGATCAGGGCTTTGTGATGGCCAATCCAAAACATTCACTCTGTTGTCCTCAAAGCACATTTTAACATATTTGTCGGTATGCTTAGGGTCATGGCCTGTGTGGAAGACCCATTTGTGGCCAAGTTTTAGTTTCCTGGCTGATGTCTTGAGATGTTGCTTCGGCATTGCTACATAATGTTCTTACTTCATGATGTCATCTATGCTGTGAAGTGGACCAGTCCCTCCTTCAACAAAACAGCACCACAACATGATGCTGCCGCCCCCATACTTCACAGTTGGGGGTGGTGTTCCTAGGCTTGTAAGCTTTCCCCTTTGTCCTCCAAATGTAACACTGGTCATTATGGCCAAACAGTTCAGACTTAGTTCCATCAGACCACACAATATGCCTCTAAAAATGAGTCTTTTTTTCAGTGTAATTTAGCAAATTGTAATCAGGCTTTTTTTGTAGATTCTGGCTTGTTGATTTTTCTATGTTGTCACAAAAGGAAACGGTGTGTTTGAGGTTTTCCTTAAATACTAATCTACAGTTGTGCCTCCAATCAACTCAAATGTTGTCAATTAGCCAATCAGAAACTTCCGAAACCTTGAAACCATCATCTGATCTTTTTCAGAGGCATAATAATCTTATTGTATGTAAACTGGACTTTCAAGAAAAGTTATAACAATTTCTCAAAAAATAACTCTCTCATTATTCTGCTATTAAGCATAACAAACAAATTTAATAATCCTAACTTAACTAAAAGAGAAAAAGTTTAGTCACAATAACGTCTGACTTTTTTTTAAAAATGGTTATGTGCCTTGTTATAGACCTTTTTCTTGGAACGCAAAATTACCCATTATGCTTTGCGTGTATGCGCAAGGAGAATGCGAAGAACTTCCGGTCGGCAGCTAATGCGTGTAAACAGTCACATATGGACAGCTTTGAAACGATAGTTTTAATCTATTTACCTGCTTTTATCCTCTTTGAACTAATACTGTTGTCCATCAGCACCACCTCCTGGACTGATCATTAAAAGAAATGCGATCTAATAGGATGGAAAACAGCTGCTGTGAGGCATTTTCCCCTCGTTGTCAGACTGCATCTTCTGCAGTTTAAATGAAGCCTCGTCATCGCTAAACTCAACATTTTCTCTTTATTTCAAATATATAACCAGCCCAAACAAATGTAATTCACCAAAATGTTTGACACACACACGTAGCCTGTACTGTGCCATTGACACACTGATTTAATAACTGTGACAAAGTGAAAATATAGGCGAGTGTCATTTCGAAATGACAGAAAAACACAAACCCGTGGTAAAAACAACACACGAAAAAAAACACAAACGGCTCGCAATTAGAATGAACAGTAAATCGCCAGCAGAGTATCAATAACAGACTTTTATTGGTCATTTTTGTAAATTGCACGACTTTCATACCTGTTAAGTTTCATGCCAGTACTCGGTTTGCTCTCTCTCTTTCTCTCTGTGTATGTGCGCACGTGTATTTCTGACGGCAGACACGTGAATTAGGAGAACGTTTTTCTCGTATTTCTGACGCGCTTGAACCACATGTGACAGATTATAACGGCTTTAACAGACACATTTCTAAGTTGTGTGTCACAAAAACACTGTTATCCATTAAAAACGTTATTTGAACCCCATTTTCGGAGCGCAAATTACCAGTTGTACACGCTGTAAATGGAAGTTTTTAGCATTCTGCCGGAAGACGCTGGTCGTTATGGCGCCCTCCATGCAGCAGCCATGAAAAAGGTCTATACAATGTATGTTAACTTCTGGTTTCAACTGTAAGCTCAAATCTTTGAATGGAAACATAGATTATAAGCCATTAAGAAATATTGTCATATTAATAAATTCTGTCCTAATATTTCTCCATGATAACAAAATTCATGACAACAATACTGAATGTGGATTATTTTTGTATGTTCAACAGGTCGGTCCGTTGCTGAACATGATGATCAAGGGCAGATATGATCATGGACTGAGTTAATAGCCTGTACTGAAGCTTCTTTAGTGTGCTGCTACAACAGTCTGTTTATGTGTGTATGAGAGAGAGAATGTGAATGGGAGTATGTGCTTGTGTGTACATTCAGACTGTTGAAATGCCAGTGCATGGCAGTATTTTGGCAGTATAAAGACTTTCGCCTTTGTCTGCATTCACTTACTGGACCCATTGTCGTTAGTTCTGTGTTGGTGTAAGGAAAAATACCACTGTTGAGGAATCCTGATTTGATCTCTCCTTAACAAGCGTAACTAAATTCAGCATTATGTGCTAAAAAAGTAATAAAAAATAGACGAATGCATTAGCAGAGGCCTCTAAAGCACTTTTACACCACCCAGAGCGCCTGTTGTCAGGTTTTGTCCCATGTTGGGAAAAAGAAGGTGCCATATGTCTTGATTAAAACTCCTGTGGATTTGAGTCCGTACAGTGAATTCTGGCTGAGCGCCTCAAGCACATCCACAACGGAGGATGATTTACAACTTGAAACCTACCATTGACGGTTTGAACCGGTTCGTACTGTCATTGTTAATGGTGTTTTTTGTGTTTGCTTTTGACTCTCATGATGATGATGATGATGATGTTTCTGTTATAGGATAGAAGTAACGCAGAATACAACAGTTAAATCACAATGCGTTTTTAAACTGAAGGGATTTCTTTCCTTTTGCAGCCGACTCACTGAATTAAAGTTTGCATTTGTTTATGCATTTTTAATGATATTTTCCCTTCTTTTTGTTTTTTTAGCCATGTGTACATTGAAGCAAATGTTTTAGTTTCTTGATATTTTATTTTTCAGTGTAACGTTATATGGTACCATTTCAGTAAGGATTGTAATTCAGAACAAACTACACTTGCCAAGTGTTAACTGTCTCCATGAATTGTAAGGAAATAAAAGCTTTTGAATGGTTTGATCTAATTTTGAAAGTTTTGTTTTTAATTATTATTAAAATTTTAAATTGCAAATATTTATTGTGCAAATGATAAAGGCTACTGTGCAAATGTTTGCGGTTGGAATTATATTGCAGTTTCACCCGATTATAAATCTTTGTTTTTTTTAAGTGATGCGATGATTGGACTGATTTCTGTCTGCCAATAGTTTCATTGTGCCCCCTTTTTTCTTTTAAAAAAATGTTCAGCAATTTAATTAAATTTTTAATTCAACAATTTTGAAAGAAATGCAAATGAAATTATTTTCTCCTTGTTTCTTGATCTAATTCACAAACAGAAACTCATTACCCAAATGAACATTCTAAAGATTAAGTTTTCTTAACTATTATAATTTTATTTCTATTAATTGATTGACTGGATACACTTAAACATGATGCTCAAAGAGCTTGATCAAAAAGATTTGAAACAACAACATTTTTTAACGTTTTTTGGGAGACAATTTAATTGTTTTATGTTCAATCCAAGGCAAGGCAAGACAAGTTTATTTATATAGCACATTTCATACACAGTGGCAATTCAAAGTGCTTTACATAAACAAGAATAAAAGAAACAAGTAAAATAAAAATAAAAACAAATAATAAAAAATGTGTCAAAACAAAACATAAAAACAGGTAAAATGTGATATAAAAGAATGAAGAAAAAGAGAAAAACATGATAGTGCAATTCATCGGACGCAGCACAGTGCTCATTCAATCCACTTAAATTTGTACTTTGTATTTGATTTGTGTTGGGACAACTTGAAGTGGCTGTGTGGAACCCAACATTTTTTACAGTGTGGTTAATGTTAATCATCAATGTAATCAGCCATATTCATCTGCTGTTTTTAAACGGTTATAAAATATATAATTGTTACCAATACATTTGAGCATATCTAGTTCTTACTGTCACTTTCAATTCATTTAATGTATTCTTGTTAAATCAAATTATTAATTTGCTAAAAAAATAACTAAAATTATTATACTGACCAAGACGTTTAAAGAGTACTTAAATAGAAAACAAAACAAAAAGTAAAAGCCTAATTGGTTTCCCTTCTTTAAAAAAAAAAAAAAAGTTTTATACCAAAAAGTGTGCCAAAACATGGACCAAGTAACAATATTACTTAAAATGTATCAGCAATGCTTTACACACTACTGCAGGGATTAGTTATTGTATGCATTACTTTCCGGTAACACTTTTTATTAACAACAATCATATTTTTCTACTAAAGAGGAAAATTGGTCATAAATGATTCAGTGACAATACAGTATACAGTATGAGATATAGTGTCATTCTTCCAAACGTTCATGATACATAGCCTATAATGTTTACATTTTCGTTTGTTGACTAAAAATATGTTTGGTATTAAAATATTCAGATTTTGAATAAAGCTAAAGTTCATTTTTGACTAAAATATAAAGAATAAAAAGAGCTTAATTTATGTTATCTGTGTGTTGAGAATTAAGAGAATTTTTGGGAAAGTAATAAAAACAATTTTATGATGCAATTAATACTCAATTACCTTTTGAAGTCATTTACATAAACACAGATTATCACTTAAATTCATTTGTTTATTTGTGAATATGACAATTTTAAAGTCATTTTAAATGGAGATTATCCTCTATGTAAAAAGCAACTGCCAGTAGGTGACGGTAAATGTCCATATCACTGATGTAGCTTGAAAAAGTTTAATTGATTAGAAAAATATTTTAAAATGATTAGTGATTATTTGTGTTTAACCTGTTTTTATATTATGCTTTATAATAGACAAGAAGAGTCGGAGATCTTTCAGCCATTGCACAGTTTATTTACAGACAGGATTGTGCAGTGGGTAAAGGGTAAGTGGGATATTTTGGGGAGGGACGAAGAGCAGCATCACCATCAGATGTAGTTCTGGTGGTGTTTGTTGATCCACAGATGCTTCAGTTTAGGATCATTTCTGTAACGGTGATACAGCAGCTGTCTTTCTCTTCTCTCTCACCTTCTTGAGTTTCCTCTCCACCTTTCCTTCACCTCCTCTGCCCAGGTGAACAGAGCCGTAAGTGCTTTTCGCCTTTTCTTTGGTTCCTCCAGGACATTCCCGCTGAGCTGGCTCTCACGACCATCAAAAGGAGTCAAGCAGAACAAAGAGGCATCAGAGTCCCCAGCTTCACTGAGGTCCTCAAACACTTCACTCGTCCACGATTCATCATCCAGCACCTCCTCCTCCTCCTCCCAGGCAAGAGTCTGTCTCGTCAGGCTGTGTCTTTCGGGCTTGAAGAAGATCTGGACGTTCTCTACAAACTCGCATTCCTCATCTTCAGTGTCAGAAAGCATGAGGTTTAAAGCTGATGCAGCCCCGACAGAAATTGAAGACATTGAGCTGAGAGAAAACACTGGCGATGCACAAGGAGGAGGAATGGGACAGACTGTGGAGAACAGCTCATCTGGTTCAGGAACATAACCTGGAAGCACAGCCAGCTGTTTGGGAGGACCCACTTGATTAGGACACCCTGGCAGGACAAACTCATGCTCAAGTTCTTGCACAGGAATGGGCCTCAGATGCACTGAGGTGGATTGGTGGGAGAACAGCTCGTCTGGTGCAGGAACAGGATGTGGAGGAGCCGTCAGCAGATTGGGCTGGTCCACATAGAGAGGACACCCAGGCAGGGCAAGCTGTTGCTCAAGTCCTTGCACAGGACACATTTGTGACCTTTTCACTGGCGGCAGGGGCTTGAAGCGAGCAGCTGGAAGGATGAAGTCTCCAGAGCCAGTGGGAAGCTTTGATCGTTTTCCCTTTATAGGCTTTAAGACAGAGGGTCTGGCAGAAGTCTGCAGGGTTTTGACCTCGCCCCTTTTTTTACCCCCTTTGCGGCGTTTCTTCCTGCACTTGTTGGGATTTGCAGTGAAGGCCTCACTCTCTGAACATTTAGTCACTGCCGCCGGTTCTTGAGCTGCACATTGCTGTGTTTCCCTTCGATGCCAGAAAGGGATAAGACAGTCAAAAAGCTTTTTAAAACTGCTGAACAGCGCCATCGTAAACGCTAAAGGCCAAAAAGGAAATCGTCAAGTTATAAAAGTAGCTCTCAATCGCTAGACTCCTCAAACACCAACAGCAGTTTAGAATTAGAACGGCAGCTTCTGTGTTCCAAAACAGAATTCTGTTTATGACATCATATCATGACATCATGACTCTGAGCTCCTCTGAGTGACAGTCACTCATAACAGTGGTGCAATTAAAGTTTTCAAACAAACACTTTTCCTTGGGTAAACTTACTTTAAAAAACAATAATGTATCTAAATCTTTAAACACACAAACATGACACATAGGCTACTTTCACATCACTTTCCTTAAAAAGTTTGAAAGTTTTAAAACTGAATCAATATGACATTTTTCTCTAGGGATGCACTGAAATGGAAATTCTTAACTAAAACCACAGTAGAAGTTGAAATCAAAACTAAAATGCTTTGATATATATATATATATATATATATATATATATATATATATATATATATATATATATATATATATATATATATATATACACAATTTTATTAAGCAATATAATTTTGTAAAACAAAAAAAACAAAAAATTTACTCATAACTTATAGTGTCTGTACCTAATGTTGAGATCGTATATGCATAAAGTTTGTTAGCTGTAGCTAAATCATAGTTTTTTTTTCTCCCCCTTTGACTCTGTCAGAAAAAAAGGTGGGTACAATTTTGTTCCTAGAGGGAACAAAATATATAATTGTACCTTTAAAGGTCCCATATTTGTCCTTAGGGTACAATTTTGTACTCAAATGGGCTATAAAGGTACAAATGTCCAGATTTAGGTTTGAAAGGTACATTTTTGTACCTTTTATAGCACATTTGGATACAAAATTGTACCGTAAAGGACCAATTTGGCACCTTTAAAGGTACAATTATATATTTTGTTTCCCTATAGGAAACTATATAACACTAATTTAAATGTATTAATACTAAACATGAATACTAAAATACAAAATTAAAAAAAGTAATAAATAAATAAATTGATTGAATTAAATATTTTAATAATTTTTTTTCATGTATTTAAATTACATTTTTTCTCAAAAATGTTAATAATTTAATTTATAATTGAATGTAATTTTAATCATTAAAAACGTAAATACTGGTCTTTGCTAACCGTTTAAGACCTTGTAGTATATGGGATGTAGAATAAGAACCATGCAGAGTGACAGCATCTTCATACAGGTGGTGATGTTGCTGTCTCTGTAAGAATTTGGCTTGTTGAGACGTTATAGTAGTGTTTGTTACTGAGGCGGTCGGTAGAGTATGCTGGCTGTTTACACAGAACTTCGCACGCTTTTCAAATAAAAGTCTATTTTGGAGTCTACACTTTTCAGGTAAAAATGTATTAATGATATATTTTCAGTCTCATTTTTACATGTGAAGCCGTGCTCTGTTGATTTTGTGTGACTCTCGGGTCTCGGCTTTCCCCCGCTTTAAGTGCTCCGGGCTGCCTGGTGTACGTTGGCCTGCAGGATGGAGTTTGCTAAGATGTCTGCAGCTTATTAAAGAAGTTAATAAAATATAATATCGAAGTCACCGAGGGACATAACGTTATAGAAGGTGAGTAATGTTAACTAACGTTATATGCCGTTAGTTTTCTCGACGCTCCCTTTATCGCCTACGTTTCGTATTCGCGCCTTATTTCTTACGTTACGTTACTGCTTTATTAATAAGTGTTGCCACGGTGGAATCACAACCCAGATAGCAAAATACACTCTGGCCAGTTGCGGCCAGATTCTCGCCTGCCCGAGCCCGTCTGCTGTAACGTTACTCGGGCCAGATGCGGCGGCAGAAGCGAGCCGACGCTGCCGTATCCATGCACGGGAATCGGGCCGTGAGTAATGTGCGGTGTGGTCCGGAGCTGGCGCGACTAAAGTCTCCATATACCTTGATATAAAACATTTTGTTATTAATACTGGAAATTTGTAATTATCGATAATGTTGTATATCTTGAG